AAATGCTGTCTTGTAAAGGTAGTTGAGGTGTTCAACTCCTTGCAAACTGATCTGTGCATGGGGGTTCTGTTTTGCTCATGACTCCACGCTGTTGTCCACAGGCAGTGGAAGAGGACTTTGTAGAGATGCGCAAGAACGACCCCGAGAGCATCACAGCTGATGACCTGCACAAGACACTGCTCGTGGCAAGGTGGGTGCTGCTGCTTGTCCTGCCTGTTTCTGTCCTGCCCAGACAGCTGCTGTTTGCAGCTGGATGCTCAGCCTGCAGCTGGATTTAGCTGTGCCAGGCTGGCCAGCTCTCCAAGATGCAGTCTCCTTTCCCTTCGTTCCTCTTGGCACACATTCTTTCTTAGGCAAAGTATTCCCTCCCTGCTTCCTTCTGTCCTGCCCAGACAGCTGCTGTTTGCAGCTGGATGCTCAGCCTGCAGCTGGATTTAGCTGTGCCGGGCTGGCCAGCTCTCCAAGATGCAGTCTCCTTTCCCTTCGTTCCTCTTGGCACACGTTCTTTCTTAGGCAAAGTATTCCCTCCCTGCTTCCTTCCCATGCTTTCTAGTTCCTAGGTTACTGCAAGAAAAATAAAAATACTGTCTTGAAAAACCTGCAGTGGTTTTTTTAATTACTGCTCTTATAAATTGTTCATTGAAATTACTCTGTTGCTCCTGAATCATCAGTATTTTTTGTTCCTCTGCTTTAGGAAGGTTACAAAATTTCACTCAAGTAAAACTAGTAACAAACTTTACATTGCCTGTTTCCAAAAAAATTAGTCAAAACATGAAAAGCTCCCATTCAGGGAAAACTTGGTGTGCTGGCTTATAGGTTTTCTAAAATATTTGTCCATAATGTCTAAAAAACCCCTCAGCATCTAATGAAAAATAATATTGTAGGTATTAAATGTTGCAGACAAAGGCTTGTTAATTTTATTTCCTTTTTGGTGTGATGTTACCTACTGAATTTAGAGTAAAAAGATTTTAATTTTTAATTTCTTATAGCAAAGTTGGGAACAAAATGTAATCCTAGAGAAGTGTCTTCAGGTGTTGGTTTGGGACTCTCGGAAGTTACAGCTTAGAGATTTCAAAAGGCAAAATGTCCCAGAAGTAAACCATAACATTAAATTTGCCTTTATTGACTAACTTTGCCTTGTTTGGGTTTGGGACTGTGCTGGTTTCTCCCCCCTGGCACTGCCCAAGCCCCCCCTGTGTCTGTGCTCCCCCAGGTTCCTGTCGCTCAGCGCGGGGCAGACGACGCTGTCGAGGGAGAGGTGGCTGAGAGCAAAACAACTGGAGGCACAACGCAAAGCCAGGCTGCAGCAGCAGAAATGTGTCAATGGCAACGAACTTTAACACCTTGAAAATCTGTCTAATCCCTAGATGGAACCCCTGCTAAGATTGGAATATTGTTTATACCAGTTTTTGTAGATAATTTATACCAAAAAGTTATGGATATTTACCCTCGCAGCCTGAACACACTTAACTCTGTTCAGCCACTTAAACATATTTTATGGAATTTTTTTGGAACCCTGTTTTGTAATTGAAAATTGGTAACAATGAGCAAATTGTTTGATATTAAACTTTAATACTGAAGTCGCATAAACTTATTTCCTTTCATAATAAGAAAATTTAAACCCCGAGCCCTTGTTCCACAGCCGTGCTGGGCTTTGTTCTGGGATACATGAGTGCTCTAATTCCTGAAAGGTGGAATTCTGAGGCTCAGAGCTCCCAGCTGGCCAGCAGCTGCAGCTGAAGGAGGTGCTGACTTCAGCACAGAGCTCTGTGTGCTGTGCTGTGAGCTGAGGCAGCACAATGCTGATCACACTGTGGGATAAAGAAGTGATTTGATCTCACCCATGTCCAGGTTAGGTATGAAATACATCTTTATTGTGCTTAGAGCAGAACAGGACTAACTTCTCAAATATCTCTAAATGAGATTTATTCTGGCACAACTTCTTAAAAAAAACCCCCACATTGACTGGAGAATTGATGCCACTCACATCCTTGTACAAAACATACTTTACTTTTACAGCAGCAGCACTGCAGTGTGTTCAGAGGGTTTGAATAATAGCATTGAAGCATTGAAAATGGGCTCTCCACACCTTATTCCTGTACACTTTGAGCTGGTGTTCAGGGGCCGTGCTGCCCCAGATGGGACTTGCAGAACTGGTTTAACAAGGGTGGTTTAAGTAGTGAAGTGTTAAACCAGCACAGAGCTGGGAGTTGTATTGGAGTAAGTAGGGCTGCCTGTATGGAGACAGCCTGCAGGAGCCCATGATGGAACCACTTCTAGATTTTGCTTCAATTAATCCTTTTCTCAACAAGAAAAAAGGCTCCTGCCTAATTTCCATTAAGCTCAGACCACCTTTACTTGTGGTTTTTGCATGACTGAGATCATGTGAACAGGAAGCCCCTTTTTTGCTGCTTTTTTCCCATTCTAATTATGATGGTTTTGCTGTACAGCCAATCTAGATATTTTGTCTCTGCACAATGAGTATTATGGAACATAGTATTTGTGTATCCTAAACTTGAGCCCTTTCAAAACACTTACTTAAAGCTTCTTTCTTTTTTTTTTTCTTTTTAATCACTAAATGAATATTCATGGTTTCATCTGCCTTGTACTGTGAAGTGAAGCAACTGAACAAATAGAGGAAGGAAATGAAATCTCTCTTCAAAAGGCAGCAGGGCTGGAATGCAGAGTTGCAAGATTGGGTTAGAGGATGGTTTGGTGCATGTTGCCATCTCCAGTATGTGAGTATACTTATATGTAAGTAGTGGATAGTTCATAAGCTGGAAGGACATTTTGCTGGAGAGGGATTGTGACAGGACAGGAAGGAATGGCTTTAAAGTCACAGAGGGCAGGTTTAGGTTGGATATCAGGAAGGAATTCTCCCCTGTGAGGGTGGTGAGGCCCTGGCACAGGTTGCCCAGAGAAGCTGTGGCTGCTCCATCCCTGGGAGTGTCCAAGGCCAGGTTGGACAGGGCTTGGAGCAACCTGGGCTAGTGGAAGGTGTCCCTGCCCATGGCAGGGGGTGGGACTGGGTGATCTTTGAAGTCCCTTCCAACCCTTCAGTGATTCAATGACATGATACTTTTGGATCACTGAGCAATGACCCAATACAGCAGCTCAGGAATTCTTTCCCAAGCTATGCCCTGGACTGTTGGCTAAGCCATATTTTTTGGAATACAAGAGTGACTTTAGAGCTATTAGCTGCTTTGCCCTACAGGACTGTGTTAAAAGTCCCCCTGTATTTGTAGGGATCAGTGTCTGTCCCACCTAAATAACAGCAAAGCATTTGCAAATTCCTCTCCCTGTACCAGAACCTTTACAAGCACCAAGGCTGAGGCATTTTCTAAGGAGTCCCCTCATAAATGTGTCTGTGACTGTTTTTTTCTTCCCAAGACCAGAGCTGGAACAGCAGGAAAGGACAAAGAACTGATGTCTGTGTCCCTGCCAGGGGATCCCAATGTCTGTGGTGGCTGAAGGGAGGAAAGAGGGGCCAGAGCCAGGCTGGGACCAACACCCACAGGAGGGTCCCCCTGAACTCTGGACACACTTGGACACAGGGGTGGCTGAGAACAAGGAGAGGTTGCTCAGAAGGGGAGTCAAGTCTGCCTCTGTGGAGGCTGAGGGTAGGAAGAGGTGGGGGTTGGTCTCTTCTCCCAAGGAACAGGAAATAGAACAAGGAAATGGGCCCAAGTTGCACCACGTGGGGTTTAGATTGGATCTAAGGAAAAATTTCTTCAGCAAGAGGGCTGTCAAACACTGGGCAGCTGCTCAGAGTCCCCAGCCCTGCAGGGAGTTCAAAGCCCTGTGGATTTGGCACTTGGGCCAGGGGTTAGTGATAGGCTTGGCAGTGCTGGGGGATCAGCTGGACTCATCTTGGGGGTCTTTTCTAACTGATCCTGTGCTACCCCAAACCCACCTGGACATAGTCATGGCAAACCAGCTCCAGGTGGTCCTGCTTGAGCAGAGGGATGAGGACCCCCTCCAGCTGCAACCATTCTGTGGCTCCTAACACAGAGAAAGCCCAGAGAACCCACCCACCTTTGAAACAAACCTCCACAGCTCTGGAGCACCACACCCCTTAACATCACATACCAAAACCATCCCTTGATTCCACCTTTTTTTATTAAAATATCTCATGTATATTGCTCACATTAAAATACAGCAGTAGTTGAAGTTTAAATATCGCCACAAGTATAGACACTCAAAAAAAAAAACCAAACCCACATCACTTTTTAATAAAATAAATAAATCAAATTTGTTTATCAAAGTTTCAGACTGTCAGGGTTAGGTGATAAAGTCGTTTCAGACACACTACAAGCCCTAAGACACAGAACTACCCCACCCCCAGGACAGGAGGCTGTGGGGACACCACGTGCAGGTTATCTACAGCACAGGGATGAGACACGGAGGCACTGGGGCTGCCAGGGTGGTCACAGTCACAAACCACAGCACAGGAAGGTCCTGCCTTACAGCAGCTCTTGGAGCATGTCCTAGACTAGCATGGCATGGCAAGGCAGTTCTGGGAAAGAGCATTTGGATGGATTTTGACACACGGAGAGAAGGGGAGGTTTTATCCCAGCATTGAGTTGATGCTTAGCTTTATCCTGCAAAGCTGGAGCAGGGAATGAATTTGGTCTTGATTAGATGCTCACAACTATGCTCTGATGCAACACTGATCTCAGGAAGCAGTACCCTGGCCTTCTGCTTTAGCTGTTGTCTGGACTTGGCAGTTAGAATAGCTTCAAAAGAGTCATAGCACAGAGGGACACAAGGCCTGACGGGCGGGGATCTTGTCTTGCTTTACACAGACACAAAAAATTAGAGCAAACTGGCAGAGTTTGGAATTCAGAAAAAAAGGAAATAAGAATTGCTTTAACATGGGCAAAACAGCTCAAGGGCATTTGTTTCATTTCCCCTCACCTCAAGGGAGGAAAAAAAAAACCAATCTACAGAAGAAATCTGCACTGCAGGATCACGGATAGTTCAGATTGGGTTCCAGGATGAAAGTGTTCCAGGATGTGTGAAAAGAAAAGGATAGCAAAGAAATCTCACTTTCTCATTAAAGTATTTAAATTCAACAAAAACTCATCGGTTCCCATTGTAGAGGCACAATTCAGAGAAAGCTGCATCTAAAACCTCAGTGAAAACAAGTAAAAACTCTAGTCCAAAAATAAATAAAATGTCATTTTACCGGTAGGTTATTTTGCTGGTGTAGTGCAAGGTAAGTAAGGTCAGAGAAGTGCAGTATCACCTTTGTAGTATAAATACTTCCTACATAATTCAGAAGAGCTACAAAATTAGTCTCCAAAAAAATAACTGTGCAACACACCTAAGACAGACAGCATGCTTATTGGGTCCCAGTGTCTAAGCTACCTGTTTAAAGAGGGGGTTCACCGTTGTGTCTCACCTCGTGAGGGAATTCTCAAGCTTGGTCAGAACCAAATTCATCTGCACCTCTCATTGCCTGTAAACAAGTCACCTCTTGTGGATCCCAGTGTCCAGTAGCTGTTCATACCACAGTGAGTCCTGATATCATTTTTTTTTAGTACTTTATTAAGAGCCACAACCAGAAGAACACTTCCTGAATTAGCGACTAGATCTGAATTATCCGCGTCTGGCACTGCGTAAACATTTCCCTCAGTTCTTTCTGTTTGATTTCATTTAAAGCTTCTGGTTCTGCAGGGCTCTTCTGGACCTTTGCCACAGCAAAGTTAATCCCTTGAGTCAATCCTGCCTGGGTGATGTTTGCAACCTGGACCATGGAACTGCGGATTTTAGCGAAGGGAGACACGGCTCTGCTGCCGCCGCCGTCGGCGGGAGAGGGAGTCGTGTGGAGTCCTGTCTCAGGGTTCCCGGGCACAGAGCCGGGGCTTTTATGGGATTTACTGAGGTCAGTCCCACCAACAGCTAAGAGCTGAGCATTTGGCTCAGAAGACAGGACATCCAGCTTGGAAGGCCTGGAAGGAACGTCTCCCACAGGTTCTGCCCTGGTCTGCGCCGCCTGGGGCGCGTCACTGCTGGTTTGGGTCGCTGGGGGACGGGGCTCCCGAGGACCAGCCTCGGCCTGCAGGACATCCGAGCCCTTACTCTGGGCATCCTGCACAAACCTGTGGCAGTACACATCCATGGGCTTGGCAAACTCCATGTCTGAGCTGTCAGCAGAAGGCATGGCAATGTCCTCGCCGTCGGAGCGGCCGGCCTGGGAGTCCTGCCCCTCGCAGGGGACGGGAATGCTGAGGCTCATGTCCGTGCTGCTGAGGGACTGCGAGCGGCTGCCCAGGCGCGGGGCCGAGGCGATGATGCCACAGCTGGGCAGCACGTAGTCTGTGGGGCCTATGTTCTCCAGGGAGTCCGTCAGCTGGGTGTCCTCGTCCGATTTGGAGTTAGTCAGGAAGTCATCGGAGTGGAACGAGTCATTATCCGACCCTTCCGTGTCGGACTCACTCTGGGCTTTGGGATCTGCCCCCGGATTCTCCAGAGTCTCGAGGCTGCTGTCTGATTTCCACAGGTTCACCTTCAGGTTTGGCTTTAAAAAATTGACTTTCACGTCGGGTTTAGCAAAGCTGCCCAGCTTCCGGAGGTTGCTCATGTTCACGTTGGATTTGGTTTGCTTCACCTTCTGGTTGAGGGAGGAGAACTTGCTGAGCAAATAATTCTTGCCCTGGGCCAGGGAGCCTCTGTTCTGAGACCGAATGCCAATGATGTCCTCGTGGGGTTTACTGCTCCTCCTAGAAGAGAGAAATAAATCTCTAATGTACAATCCTTTTTATAAACACCAAGTATTGACTGTCTTCCAGTCTATTTCCACAGTAGAGATGGACATTTAGTTACTAGGTTATTCTTTCCTCACATAAATAAATTAATTTAATCCTTTCCTTACCTAATATTGTACCCATATAAGCTAATCAAGCTCAAACCAGCAAAAGGAGGGTTGATACAGAACAGTAACCAAAGAAGGAACAGCCAGTTTCTGCAGGCACTTTAATTTTGGAAGAAAATAGATTTGAATTCCTCGTTTTTGTAACCCTGACTTTGTGTACACTGTATTCAGTAGCCAGACTTAGCAAATATTCCCTCTGGAATACCTGTAAAAAAATAACAAAATTTTCTGGCTGCACTTTCTGCTCAGCTGGGAAAAGAAGCTGAAATAGTACCACAGTAACCCAGAGCAGAAAAAGAGTTACTGAAATGTGTGCCTGAATAGTTTTTGTTTGACAAAGTACAACTGTGCTACAGAGCACATTTTCTAGCAGTTCATACAGTCTGAACTGCAAGTGTCCAAAATAATGCAAGAGATGGCACTTGAACTGGTAAAACAGGACCATCCTCTTACTTCTACCCCATTGTCCTTTTAGGACATTTCTTTTAGGCATCACATGACTGTGGTTTGCCCCTGAGAAGAGCAGGAGTGGACACAGAACGTCCCCATCCTTTATGTACTCACCTTTCCAGCTTTTTCTCAATGATGGGCACATCCAATCCCATTGCCTGCTTTGTGATCCTCAGCATCTCTGCAATGCACTGAAGAGTGTCTGAAATCCAAGCAGCAGCCTGTCAGACCCTTAAAAACACCCCTAAAATCCCAGAGTCCACAATCTAAGTCTAATTTTAACATAATTAAGTTTGGGGGGTTGGGGTTTTTTTTTCTTTCACCCTACAAGTTGCAGTTCAGATTTCAAGCTTACAAATAAACTTAAATAGACTCTCCTTGATCCCTAAATACTTGGTTCTTAGTGAATCACTGGCACACTGCTTCATTTATAGGAAGAAGAGAAGCAATTGTATTTATTCTAATCCCTGTTGACAAAACTCAGTGCTCCAGGTAAGAAGTGATATTTTTTCCCTTATTAGTGTTCATTTAATTCAGTTAAACAACAAGCAAGAACATTTCCAGACACTGATTTCACTAAAAAAAAAAATAAATCATTTTCTTCAGCCCTTTTAGGAGCTCATTTTAACTTCATTTTGCAAGGTTTTGGAGCAGTAAAGACCTGGACAGGGAAATGTCTCTAGATCTAGGAGACATGTTGCTTTTTAAAGCTGCATTTGGAATTTATTTTTCTTCCTATTAAAACAGTAACATCCACATGTTGACCCAGGAAGCCACGCAGAGGGTTTTTTATGGTTCCCCACTCTGCACAACTGGATTATATCAGAACAACTTCTGAAGAAGGACAAGTTCTGAGAGCCATGGAACAAGTGTTTCCCAGGTAAACAGTGGGATACAGAATGCACTTTTATGCCTAAAGCTTTTCCATATGAAACAAACCTTTTCCATCTTCTTCTGGGTTTCTCACCACAGCTCTGAGGGTGTGAAAATACCCACTCAGCTCTTTGTACTTGTAATGCAGCCTCATGCAAGAGAACTTGGGTTTGCCAAAGAGAGTAGGCTCAGGCCCTGAGAGAAAAATCAGATTAGAAATCTTTAACCAAACACTAAAGAGATGCTGCAGAGACTCCACCTAAATATATGTACCTGTTGACAGCCTTTGTCAGCACAAAAAGCTTCATGTTTTCTTTAGACACTTGAAATGAAAGATTTTCACAATAACTAAACAATCAACTACTTCAAAAAAGCAATTAGACTCCCTGTATGTCTGGTATGATCCAGCCTGATGGTTTACAACAAATAGAAGTTTTACACCTTCTACATCCTGCAGTTTTTTAGGGAATGCTCTTGCAAGGATTAAAGGGAAAGCTAATACATTTCTACCAGGGGGATGCAGTGAAGTTTTCAGCTCTCTTCAGTGCACTGCTTATATCTACAGCACCACACAAGTTGTAGATGAAGATGTTTCAACTCCACATCATGTTTCTGTACATCAGGATGTCTCACAAATCTCCACGGTGCTGGGTAAGAGACCTTGCCACTGAATTCTTAAAAATTGCACAGACACAGGGAAAGTTACAGCCAGGACATGATGAAATCACTGGCTATTGTGTAATGGAGGGTTAAACTCTAGCAGGGGGCCACAAAATTTCCCTCCCTTCTCTCTCTTCCCTCTCTTTTTCATCTGCAAAAAAGTCAAAGCCATCACATCTTTAATGCTTTCAGCAGCAGCTGCTGGATTTAGCCTGCAGATGGTACATTCTATAGCCAAGTTAAATGAGCATAACAAGGTGATTTTGTAACAGCATGTTTATCATCAAGCCTCGAGAAAGAAGTCTTAAAAAGCTATGAAGCAGATTTAAAGAGCAATTCCAAGCCAGGTGCTGCCTTTGGATCAAAGAAAGAGAGCAGTGAATGCACAAACCTGTGACTCATTACAGAAGTTGATCAAGTTGTTTGATAAATAATGAAATTGGGTTTGATGATTCCCTGGTTCTTTTAAGAGTTTAAAAGAGGGAAAACTTTAGAACCTTAGCAGTGATCAAAGTTTCCATTTCAAACAGCAGCAAAAGCCAGGCCTGGGAGGGAACAGATAATTCTGGCATCTGTTAAGAGCAAGAAAGTCCAGTCCTGGTGAACTGCCCAGCATTTATGCCACACATCCAGGCTTGCTGCTTCAATCCATCTGCAGGATGCTTTGATGAGGGCTCAGCTATTGTTAAGAGCATTCAAAAAAGATACAGGGTGATTATTTTCTTACCTATTTCTATTTTTTCCAGAGCTTCAAGACCTAACCTTTGGTACTGATTCACCTTGTCGACTTCATCATCATAACTAGGAGAAAAGAAAGAGGATTTAATTCTTCCTACTGATCTAAATCAAAGCTCCTAGAAATAAACTACACATAGTAAGAGAAAGCAGTGACTTACTAGGCCACATAGTAGGCAGAGTTGGAAAGTAACAGCAGAACATCCACGTCCCTGTGAGTGGCATCGATGAGACTGAGGAAAGGGAAGAAAAATAAACACAGGGGAGAAGGTTTTATTTGCAGAGCTGTAACCCCTGCCCAGTGTATTCTGGGGACACTCTTTTAGAATTCAACACATGTTACAACAAGAAGTTTGGATTATGGTCCATTATCTTGTGTGGTGCTGCTGCCTGCTCAGAATCCCTGAAAAACCCACTCAGGGGGGTCAGTTATTGGGTGGCCACTTCCCAAGCCACAGTGTGATCACCTACAGTAAGTGGATCCATGTAAGCAACACTCTCTCCCAAACCTGAAGTTGCCTAATAGCTCAAATAGGTCAGCAGAAGGCCCAAAAATAAATAGAAAACCCTCAAGCTATTAAAAATGCCAGCAGACAAATGGAAAAATACCTCAGACTCAGTGAAGGTGATGAGTCTGTGCCCTGAATAGCTGTCACAACAACCTGCTCTGCTATTTTTAGATGCTGAAGTTTAACCTGCAGAAGATCTCACCACTATTTTTCTTTTACAAGCCAGTGAACTCTGAACTTGATAAGGAGGGGAGTTAGTTCATGCCCACTACTTTTCACAAAGAGAAATCTAGACTTTCCTATGCTGAATCATTCCCCAAGAATTTAATCTGGCTCCAAAGTCAAGTCACACTTTCCCTATAAATCAATAAGGAGCAACAGCTCCTCAAGCAGCCCCCTCTAGAACTAAGGGTGGTTAGAAGTTCTCCCTGTGGTACCCCCCAGTTTTGGCAACATGAACTGACTGAAGCCATTTCCAGGTGATGTTTCAAAGGGGCACCATTTTAATGGCACTTTGGGAAAAGCACATGCTTAGAGGACCTTTTCTTTTCCAATTGCAAGTATTCAAACCCTTCAAGGACTCTTGTCATCCTGTGGAACTGTCCACTGGTGTTCTGCCAGCCCAGCTACCAAAACCATTTCCCCTCAGCAGTAACAGGCAGGTCAGAGCAGCAGCAGCTGAGCAGTTCTGACTGTCCAACCCACCTCGGGTCACAGTCAATCAGTGCCCAACCCCCATGGAATTTTTCATCATCTGGTAAGAGCAGCTTCATGTAGCTCTGCAGCAGCTGGCTGATCAGCTCCTGGTGGCTCCTCAGGTTCTCCTTGTGCAGGGCTTCGTGTTCCTTCTCTTTGGTGAATATGGAGTACAGATCCTCTGTGACAGGGATGCCCTGCATCAAATCTAAATGAAACCCAGCAAACACCAAACCAGAAAGAAAGTTAAAAGTGATAGACAGCAAATTCCTCCCAAATGTTTCATATTTACTGATGCTCTTGGTAGTCTTTCTGAATACAATGTTGCCTCAGTAGGTATTACACTGCTTTCAGTGAAAAACATTTTAAGAGACACCTGCTACATAAATTTAACTTAGTCTAAAAAAAGAGCCACTACAAGACATTTAATGCTAAAACAAAGTCACACTGCACACAAACCCTAGATGGAGAACCACTGTTTCTCATGGTGTCCATCACACAGACATGAACATTATCTACACCCAAGGTGCTTTTAAGCTTCAGGATGAAAAAAAAAAAAGAAAAAATAGTCCAAAGATAAAGTCAAGATGATTTTAATGAACTTTTCTAAACACCATAGTTCAGCTTAGTTGAAATTGTACTCTTACCTATGACTGCTTGCCTGTAAGCATCCCTGAAACGATTCAAGTAGTATCTGTTTGCAGAATTAACTCCATCCTTCATCACTCCTGCCAGCTTCCTCTCCCCAGTCCTGGTGAAGTCCCCCTGTCACACAGAACATGCAGATCATGCACAGATGCACCTGGAGAGCAGCAGGCTCAGCTCAAAAACCTTTGGCATTCTGAGGCTCAGAGCTGAACAGGTGACAACTCAGAAACTATCCACAAGTAACTATTTCATATAGAAGTTGAAAATATTGATTTTTCAAAGGGCATCTACTTCTGGCATTGACTCTGCAGAGAATCTTATGTGTTCAACAGATTTAGGATTCAATGGGAAACAGAAATTTGGACACACATGCCAGCTAACATTAAAGTAGAACATTCAAGATGTCAGTCCACTGTGATGTTTGAATACCTCAAGAAAACCCTTTGTGTTTTGGCCTTTAACCTAAAAGGAACACCACTGAAACAAGAGAGAAGACTGGAGCTTACTGAAAAATGGTTTTCATCTTTTATGTTTTTGCTACCAGAACAAGACAAGCAGAACATCCTGAAGGAGAACAGTACATACCCTCCCAACCTCAGAAACAAAAGCCAGTTTCTAGGCCACAGAAGGCTTAGAATTTGAATAAAAAGCTGTTTTGGTAGTTAGAGTTCATTAGAGGATTCTATTTTCAGAGACACCCTGAGCACTGGCACAGAGCAGTTCTAAAAGCCATGTCAGCTACTCTGAAGAACATTTCAAGTGTGTTTCACTTTCAAATTGAAAGAAATATCACAATTAAAAGGAATTTAATTCATGAACCTCAATAGCAAATAGAGAAATCTTCAAACAGAAGGCCTGAAAATCTAGATCTATAAATGGAGGTCTGTGCTTCAGATACAGTTAAATATACATAATGAAGACAAGCATGTCAGGCTGGTTTTTACAATTTTTTAAAATAAACTAATCAAAGTTCAGTAGAGGTTTAAAGAGGGATCTCAGAAGCATTTCCACCATAATGATTTTTCTCATGCCACATACAAAGAATAGTAAAATGTGTTCCACCAGTGACTTAAACACACAGCAAGTACCTCAAATTCTGTGACTTTTCAAAGCAGCAGGAATTAAAATGTAAGGAGTTTCATGCCTGATCTTGGTAAACAGACTGCATTCATAGAATCCCAGAATCAGCTGGGTTGGAAGGGACCTCTGAGATCATCAAATCCAGCCCTTGATCCAACCCCGCTGTGGTTCCCAGCCCATGGCACTGATGCCACATCCAGTCTGTCCTTAAACACCTCCAGGGATGGAGAATCCACCACTTCCCTGGGCAGCCCATTCCAATGGCTGAGCACCCTTTCTGTAAAGAACTTCTTCCTAATTACAACTAATTAATTCTTTAGAAAGTATAAGTAATTAATATCACCCTGCTACCCACACATCCTCATCTTCAGCCCCTCGGAGTATTTTTTTAGTACCGTAACTGCTCAGGAGTGCTGAAAGTGTAACTACAGCCCTGCTAAAATTTAAATGGATGTACTGGTTAATATATATCCTAAACCCTCAGCTCAGCTATGCTCTGCTGCAGACATGAGGAGGATGCAGTTAAAACACAGCCAGCAGTGCCACGGGACACCGGGCAATCGGAATTCTCCGGTTGGCGCCGAGCGCGACACAAAACATTCTCCTACTCTGAAGCCTCTTCAAAACAAACCCAGGCAGAATATTTGGCTTTATTACATAGACAAGAGTTTCTTGGTGCACATAAAACCTGTCACAGCCTCTCCTCATCATCAGGCACCACCAGGCCCCCTCCCCGTTACCTTGAGGGCGGCGGTGCCGGCGTACTGCCGGCTGATGGCATCGCCGTTGTTGGCCCACATCACCTGGTAGATCCTGTTGCACTTCACGGGCAAAGGCTGCTCAGGGGGCATCACACCCAGTTTTTTGAGCTGGAATTTGACATGTGTGTGTTAATAAAACGTCCGAGATAAGGGGCGTTCTCTGTGTCAGAGCTCGATAAAAGGAACGCAAACGCTCGCCAAGCTTTGGTCGTTAAACTCTCTGTGATCTGAAAAAGGGGCTCATTCTGCTGATTTGTCAGAGGAAATTAATTGTAAGCAATGAATCACTAATTCATTGCTAGGCATCATATCACTGGAGGCAGCATTAACATATTAATTATGAATGTAGGAGCCAACCATCAAAAAAAATGAGCTGGAGTTACTGGCGATTGCTCAAGATACAGGAAATTTTTCAAAGGAGAACCATCAAAAGAACAGGCATCACAGAACTTTAACATGCATAAACAAGTTAATATGTCTTCTATTGCAAAGGCATTCATGACCTCAAGGGTCTGAAAATAAAAAACAGCTTCTTTTGTTGGTTTATTATTAATGCTTGCACATTTTGGACAGTTACTGTTTAACATTGGTACTGAAAGTGAGATATCTTATTCTTCAAGACAACCAGTACTTCATTTTCCCCAAGATAAAAGCCTTGGGTACAGTATAAACTTTAGGCTTTTTACAGACACTGAACTGGTAAAGCTGCACAGCCATAACTGCAATGCAGTCACTAACTTGGAATAATAGTAAAGGATAACTTGGAATAGATCACAGGCAAACAATTCCCAACCAAAACCAAATGCTCAAGCACCCTTTGCAAGTTAGATGACAATTGATACAAGGCTGTTCACTGACTTTGAGAGCCCTATAAAGTTTCCAGGTGAGAGAAAGCAAGTGCTGTGGCTCCAAGGGAGAGCAAAGGTGAGGCACGTGGAACACTCATGTCACTCACCCTGCAAAGGTCAGGGCATTGCTCTGTCATGAATTGATTCCAAGGCACTTCAGCTACACCACCAGAATCATGCAGCACATCACTAATACTTCAGTGATCACTGAAGCCTCTTCACAACCATCTGTAACACTCCTGATTTTGAAAGGTTGCCTTTGAACTCGAGAGTTACCCTAGAGAGAAACCCTGCTCCCAAACAACTGTGGGACTGCAGGTCCCTCCCCTTGCCCTCCATACTCCATGTCAGGAGACCAGAACAGCAGATGACAAACAAGAACTGCCAGATACAATGGTCAGAGCCACTCACTTTTCATCCTATTGAAGGACCCACTTTGTCCTTTCTCCTTCCCTTTAAACAGTCAGGTTTGCTCAGCTTGGGCTGGGCTGGAACTGAGCCTTCTAAAGTTCAGTTCCAGGACTATTAATCTGCATTAAGTCTCTAACAGAACTGTATTTATGAAGCCTTCACAAGGGAGGACAATCACAGATTCTATAGCAAAAAGCAAATGTGGGGCAGGGCAAAGAGGAACATGACTAAAGGAAGGACCCTCAGTCTGCTTGGAAATCCCTTCCCTAACATCCACATCACAACAGTCACAGCAATCAGGGATATTAACATCATGAATTAATTATTCCTTTAAACACAGAAGAGAAAACTCATCTCCCTGCTTGCTGCATCACAGTATTTCTTTCACTTCAAAGCAGCTAAAATAGCATCCAACTTCTAGCTGGATTTTAGTCCCTTAATCTCTCATTTCAGGGAGGGATTTGGGGGCGTGATGTTTTGTTTTTAAACTTTGCATTACTGCCTAAAATTACTAAACCAAAACAAGACAATCCTCTCCAAGATGTGGACAGTCAGTCACCTCCTTTCTGAAGGAGGACACCAGGCATCACTGTTGTACAGTGATTTCCAGCTTTGTATTTCTACATGTTATTCCTTTCAGCTTCGAGCTCCCCAAGTGTTTCACAAAGATTCTTTTCAGTAGAGGTTAGTTTAGCATTTCTCAAACCCCCAGGTTTCTCTGTGAATAGCAATGAAGTTCTGAGGTACTTGGCCCTTGACAAAGTGCCAGTTGACATACCTGCTGTTCCATGACCACCCTGGCAATGGCAGCCTGCACGACGTTGGTACGATCCAGGCAGTCCATGCAGTTCACTCGAAAAATCCCTTCCTGTTTACAGATCACTCCAGCCTGGTCAACCCTTTCAACAGGAAGAGAACAAAAGCACACTGAGACACTTAAAATGCAGTGTAATTTATCAGCTTCTATAAACAGTAGGAGATTTTACCCTATTTATAGTGGCACTCATCACCCAGGCACACCCCACCCTGAATTAACTCCTCTTGTTCCAGCCTATCCTCCACTTTAATCTAGGCTGGATGTCAAATAAATCCTAGTGGGGCCATAAACTTGAATTCAGCATCTAATTGCATCCCAACTCTTGCATATATAATACAAGCTTTCAAGAGAAAAGGCATTTAATTTCAGATACAGAAGCCAATATAAATGAACAGTGAGATCAGAGTAACTGATTGAAGACTGCAGCACATTCATTTAATGTCCTTTAATCAGTACAGACCAAAGGTCAAACACACCTACTGGTTTCAACATAAGGCTGGTTGGTGTTCTAGGGTTTGTGGGTCAAATACAGTGTTTCACATTAAATATAAGAAACCCTGAAAGTGTTAAATGAAATAAGCTCTGGGCAGGAATCAACATCTGAGAATTTTTTGTTACATGTCTAGAGCACCAACACTTCAGAACACGAACTGTGACACACAAGCTGGGCACCAGAAAAGAAATATAAAGCACACCAGTTATGACAAGATTAAGGCCTCCAAATATCAACTGTTTGTTGGGGGGCTTTTTGCCTGTTTTTTTGTTGTTTGGGTTTGTTTTGGTTTTTTTTTAACAAATTTTCCACAGTGGTCTAAGAAGAGTTAAGTACCTACCAGCACCACTTCATGTCAAGAATAATATCATGAATGGCATCAGTCAGTGTTTGAACATTTTCAAACTTCATTCCTCGGCTAAAATGCAGAATTTCACAAAAGTTAGTTTGAATTACAGCAGTGACTTTAATTATTTTATCTGTAATGTTCACAAAGATAGAGTTTTGGCTAAGTGGGAGAGACAATTATTCTCTCCTGCAGCAAACTTGAAACAGGAGCCAATATTCAGAACTTTTCTAAAGTACAGTTCACCATTAAATCCAAGGAAAGAGGATAAAAAAATAGTTAAATTCTCAAGAATTTCCTTATTTCCATAAGGAAGAATAAAAATGTGCATCATCATGTGCAACATTCTGTTCTCACCTTAGTCACAGTCTCAAAACCAGTGACTGTGGATTTGAGGTGGGGAGGATGAGTCCTGCTCCACCAGTGACTGCACAGAAAACACCCCCCCACACATCACCCCCTCCTCCCCCATCCCACAGGTGGTTTTTTGGGATTGTTCTCGACTCACTCACTCTCAGTTTGCAAAAAAGAAACAGTCCTGGGCACCACAGAAGTTTTTAGGAGAAAAGTGAAGGAATGAAAACAGAAGCTCCTTCAAACAAGAGATTAAGCATCAAATCAATTCAGGCCTAGAGGAGTCTCCAAGGCCATCATTATTCTGAGGGGGAGTTCCCTTCCCCCCATCCCCTCTGCCAATATCTACTAATGACACACGTATTGAGTCAGTAATGCTCTGCCAGGCCACATGCAATCCCTAGATTACGTTCAGAAATGAAGATTAAAACAGTTTAGGGCCCATATTGACTCCCACACAGAGGCAGCTGGAGGGAAGCAGCAGAAATCCAGGCCTGTGGGACAGATGAAATGCTTGGGCATGTGAGCACTGCAGCAGAGCATGGCAGAGTGCAGCCAGGAAAACAGCCACTGCTTGGGCTGGATTCAATTAAAATCCAGTGTATTTTATGGTGAAAAACCAGCAGCAGGGTCCTGAAAGAACCCATCATATTGTTATAGAAAAAATAAAGAGAAACAGAAGTGGAGAAGAATTAAAAGCAGAAAGCTACACAGTTTGAAAAAGCAGGTCAGCCACAGCTTTACATTCACAGCATGTCTAAGGGAACTCTCTTGCTTAGAATGTGTGACAATCAAGCTTTGCCCAATAAATAACTGCAAATTTAACAGGTCAGGGACACAATATGACAAATGGCAGTGCTTGGTTACCCAAACTCAAAATTTTATAGTGCTTTAGTTTACAAAATGTATTCTTCCTGTTTAAGTGTTTCATGCAGAAATAGAAATCACAATAATAATAATAATTACAATGTTTTCTCCTCCCTTCTACTCTCCTCTCATGCTAATAGAAAAAGATGCAAAGGGTCATTGTTAAAAGGTTTCTTACCAGTGCTCATGGAAGTCAAATGAAACATAAGTCAGGTTTGCATTGTTGTAGAGAAGAACTTGTTTAAGGTAAGCATCTCCAATAATCTTCTCTCTGCCTGTTTGATCCACCAAGTTAATAATAACCTGTTCAAAAGTCCAATTAGTTAACATTTGTCATCTGCTACACAGCTTGCTCAGATATATACACCATGCAATAACAAACAGCTCAGGAGTTAAAAGATTTGCAGGAAATCTTGCTGAAGTTAGTCTTTGCTAGATTGTACCCAAGACAAATAAGCTCTAACAGTTACCTGCCTACACTAACTTTAACCCAGAGAAGCTCTGAATTCACAGGACAGGTACACAGGAGTAGGGTTTACACATTCCCACAAGTTATTGTTTTCAGAGCTTACTTACAGACACTTGAAAAACCTATTAAAATTCTATTTACGGACCAACCTCACAAACTGTCACAAACAAGCTTCTAAAAAACCACAACACATCAGGAATAAAAACAAACTGAAAGCATTAACCTTCATCCCCTGCATTTTCATGAGATTACTATTTTATCACGTAGCACTCACCTGCTTTTTGTAGTTTTTCAGCTGCTCTTCAAAGTGTGCACGAAAACAGGGTACAGTTTCATTCTCACCTACAAGGCAGAGCAGTGTTAGACAGAAACAGACAGTCAGGTCCTGTTTGATGTATTAAACTGTGCCCAAATCAGTGCTCTAGAAAACCCAGACAGCTTCACTGAAGACACACTGTACAAAATTCCTTTCAAAGGCATTTCATCGATTTGCTCAACTTCAACACTGCTGTTCCACCACAGCAAAAACTTCAATTTTGCTTTTTGTGCAGAGGAGATGGGACTAAAATTTAATTTTTCACAGGCCTGCTTAATCCCTTTCCCTGTGCACCACACACATAAGCATCTCTTCCCAAGGGAACTCTGATCCTCAGCTATCCCACCCCAACACTTACTCTTGTCCAGGCGGGGCCGTGGGTTGTATCTGTATCCAACTTGGCTCCAGAAAACAGGCACAGAGCCCCGGGTTTGGATGTAGGAAAGAGTGTGGTTGTGAACATGAATCAGTTGCTCTGTCTCAACGTAATTTGCCACGTTTCCATTTTTATCCACACCTCTCCTTTTGTACCGCATTCCTGGCAGGAAGGAAATGGCCAAAGGAATATTTAAGTGCTTGACTTAAACATTAGTAACTTTTGTTGCTGTTTTTGGCAACACTAACACAGGCTCTAGCCAAAATCCATCCTCAGTGGTAGAAGTCACTCCTACCCTGGTTTATTTCTCAAAAGTTATTTTGACTATATGGATAAAGTTTATTTACTGACATACAATAAACAGCACCACAAAGTCAAAGATAATCTCTAGTCCACCATTAATGATACATTCCCTCCTGTTCTGTCACATTTAGCATAAAGTTTTACTTTAGTGCTCAATATTTCCATGAGCCTAAAAGGCCATTTTTACTCCACCTCTCAGAGATCCCACAAGCAGCCCAGGAAGTCCCACAAAACAGAATATTCCCCCTCCTTATTTTAACTTGCACAGTAGGAAGAGTTAATGCACTCCTGGCTACCCAGTTTTATGCCCAGCCAGCCCTGAGCTGCTCATTGAACAGAGAAGTGTTTGCAGATCCTTTTCTCAAAGGAGAGGACATTCCTATCTCAGGAGGGAGCAGGTGGTAGCAAAGGACAGGGAAGGAATAAGAGGGCTGGAAAAAGGGCTCAACAGCACTATCTAAGGACTATGGGAGGGAAGGGAAGAGGTGAGAAATAGGGAAGTGAAAAGAGTGTAAAATACCTACTTGGGGACCTTTAGAGGGGGATTGTCAAAGCACTGTTACAGCCTTTAATCAGACAGGCTTTTAGACTAAAGCATCAGATACCCTTCACTTATGCTCTGCCACCAATAGTGGCTCTTACAGCAAAACCCAACCTTAATCATTCACAAATAAATAAAAAAGATAAGTATACTTAACACAGAAGTATCTTTAGCTTTTAAATCAGTGTTTCCTCTGTTTTGGGTTTTTTGGGGGGGAGTTAACTATAGTATTTCAAAAATAAAGGCACATTGAACTCTTGGCTAAAAGTATGTGCTACAGAATTAATCAAACACACAATCCTATAACTATTCTTCAAAATATTGCCTCAATTTATCAAATCAATCTTTTTGTGTCAAGAGAGAAAGTTCTGCACACTTTGTGCTCTGGACTAGAAATCAATTGAGCACAGTGACATTAACAGTAAAAGTAAATGAATAACAAATTACCCCTCTGCAATTCAGTTCCTGTATCTGTGTAACAATTTAGTATTAAAAAGGCATACTGTAAACTAGATATTACCCTGAAACTCTGAAGTATTTACTCCAAGTTGTTCTGACAAATAATGTTCCTGAGAACTGAATTAAATAAAAGTGAGCAGTGGTACAAAGGGCAGTCCCATACCAGGGTAAGCTTTCCATGGTTTTTTTCTTGGTTTTATGACATGTTGAAAACCTGCCTGTGTAGGAAAGCAGTTGGACACAATGGAGAATATCTCAATAAAAATCAAATAGCCTGAGAAGCCAGAGCTGAACAGGACCTAGTAAATTGTAGAGCCATTCAATCTTTCTTTCCGAGATCCCAAGGACAGGGAAGAATTATGTTTGCCTTGCACCTTATTTGACTTATTCCAGCAGCAGCAAGGTCAAAGCATCCCTCTCCAGTGCTCAGGAAGAGCCCCAAAGCCTTGACCTGAGCCTGCCTACCAGCTCTGTGCCGACTGCGGCGGGAGATCAGGGCCACCAGGAAGGTGGGGTGAACATCATCCACGCACGTGGATTCCTGGGGAGGAGTTTCAGGACTGCTCTTGTCATCATCAGAAGATTCACTGTAGTTTACTACAAGCTCTTCAATCTGCACAAATCCTTGAATGATGGGTATGATCCAGAAGTCCACTTCAGCATTCTGAAGGGTACAAAAGACATTTATTCCTGTTGGTTCTACATCACCCACAATTCTTTCTGCCATTTTTTATGTTTATAAAACAGTTGCTTCTCATGCTTTTTGTGTTTTAAGCAATGTTTGCCATATCCTTGTCTTATTTCTGTGAGTGGTACCAGCATTTTTCCTCCATCAGTTGCAGGGTTTTTAAATCAGGAGGAAGAAAGAAAACAACTTTAGATTTTTCTGTGGAGATGGAGCACGTTGAATCAAGGCAAGGCAAAAAGCCCTCCTCTGCTCTCAGCTATCCATGGACAGAAGAAAAAATTTTTAAAATTTCTTTTAAAAAAAGAAATTCTTTTTTTCAATTTTACCCAAACAGAGTTTTCAATACAGCATTATATCTGATGTTTAATCACATTAAAAGCTTAAAGTAGTAATTTCCCATGTCAAGGATAGTCAGTTCAGATAGAACAGGAAATACAGGTAACTTATTACCTAGTTTCTGCTTTAAGGTAGTGTTACAACCTCTATGTGGGCATATACTATATCACATTTATATAGGTGGGTAGTTTTTAACCTGTTTTCAGCAAAACATACCAGCATAAGCTTCATAGGGGCCAACTTTGCACTCAAATCAACTGGTTCAGGGTTCTGCCACCCTAAAACATCAATTTCTTAAATAGAATTGAGATCCAGATTCCCCAATGGTCAGCTCTTTCCCCAAGGTTATACCATTTATATCCCCATTTATATCTTAGAACATGAAAAATACAACCAGTTAAACTCCTGCATCATACACAAATTATTAGAGGATCCAGGTTTACCCTGCTGTAACTCCATAACCATTTGATTAGGTTAAATTATTAATGAAAAAGATGCAGGGCATAAAGTAAGATGTCTGCTGTCATCTTTAAAGAACATAAGACTTGGCCTAAACTGGCATACAATAGTTAGCAACTTAATCCTTTATCTCCAAGTTTAGTTTAAAATGAAGGAAGATCATATATTGAAGAAAGAATGGTGGTTCTATGTTTCTTTAAGTGTTTCTTAGCCAGGAAAATGTTTTCTTTGCTCTGAATAACTGTTCAGAACAACTTGTTCTACACTGTTTTTACATTGATCAGCTACTCTGTTTAAGGAGAAAACACTACTCTCCACTACAGAAAACAAAAATCTCATCTCAAGAAAACTCTGAAATTCAGAGTTACTTCTTTTCTGGCTCCTCCTTATTATCAAGCTCAGCTCTGTCCAGGGATAATCCACTTCACAGATGAATACAACTTAAATTCAACTTCAGAAGTCAGCACAAAAATATCACACCAAGTTATTCTATGTTGTTTTATAGTAGTAAAATTTTAAATTCAGTTGAAGTTCATTCATTAGCAGCAATCACAGGCTAACTAGAAGGCTGGGGGAAGAAGGCACAGCCCTAATCCTGCCCTGTCTGCCAAGCAGGTTCTCAAGCAAACTTCTGAACCCTTAAGTAAACATTTCAACTAAAACTAAAGGATGATTCTCATAATATATTTAGAAATAAAACACTCACATCGATGCTGATGAGATCTTCAATCATGTGCTTGTTCCAAAAGAATCTGTCATCAACCTGTTTGAGACAAAAAAGGGCAGGTTTTGCAACATCAGACACCCGAGTTCAGTTGTTTATTCACTGCAGGTGCACACACAGCTCTCAGAAGTGTTCAGTTCAGTTCCAGTCTTGCTGCTGGAGGCTTTTGTTCCTCTTCCTTGCACTGAAGTTGGGCCCTGTCCTGCACCAGACACATCCTGGTGTTTCTGGAGAGTCTCCATGAAACATGTTCCAAGGCAAAGTTCCTACACAGAAGCTTTTAGCAAGTTTGACTAAAGGTTTTTATAAAGTATTTTTATCAGCTCAAGTTCTTCAGCTCACCAAAATTCTGCCTGAGCAACCAAACCCACTGGTAACTACACCCATACTCAGGTTTTATGTTTTTAAGTAAAGGTTGCTTAAAATACAGCAGAATGGGACAGATGCTCACTTTTATAACAGAAGGATAGATTTTGTTACCTTGAAAGACCTTTGAAAATGGAAAGAGACAGTTCAAAGACACCAAGAAAGAGGTTTCTGGTTTAAAATCACTTCCATTATTTACACAAATGACGTTGGTCCAAGCCAGCACAAAGGTTTGTTACAGTTTAACAGTATTGCATAATTCAGCAAAGAAAATATGTTTTCATTGAAGTGGAAAAAGGAGTTACAACTTCTGCTTTAGATTGCAGTCAAGTTTGGAGCACAGACATCATGGAGCAGCACATCTCCCAGATGGAAGAATCAAACAGGACACACTCACTTTTCTCCACAGGGATAAGTTTGTTTTCTCACACGTGCTCTGTCTCTGCACAGAATTTGTCAGGTCATAGGTCAGGCTGTAGTAAAAGGAGTCTGAATCCATGAACATTTTGAACAATTCCTCCAGTAATCTCTTCTCCAGCCTCTCTTTCTCTTTGCTTTCTTTAATCTGAAAGAAAAAAAATGGCTTTTTTTATTTCTCTGTGAGTGACAAAGAGTCCAGGCCATATTTGCTAAATGCTATTTCTAACTCTCTAGGACAAACTCTTTCCACTGAGGAGCAGGTTCTTAAAAATCCCAGCACAGACAATAAAAACAAGGGACAGCATCCTCAAAAATATCATGTTATTACTTTTACCATTCAAAGCAGTCAACTTCTGGAGCTGAATATTTAAGTAGGATGTTTCAATCTCAAGAGTTTAAGAAATACTGCAGCCACCCATCCTAATTTTAACAAATATTGTTTGGATTTCCTAATCCAACCCATTGTTGTGCTAAAAGCATTTTGATGAGATTGTTTGGTGTTCTCTGAGGAACTGGGCACCAAATTTCGTCTACAATTCTGTGTGGTAAGAGAGATGCTTATGCTGAACAATTTGTAGAAGTTTAGAATCTCAGCAGAAGGTAATCCTGGTAAGAAGGAACTCTATCAGCAATTCTGCCAAAATTATGTAATTGCAAAACACAAAAAAAATCATAGAATTGCCACAGCTAAATAAAGTAAAAAAAAATTAAACTGAGCATCAAGACAGCAGTTCCACATTCTGCAGTTTTTCACTAGTTCTTTAAGGTCTTAGTACTCCATTTGATCATCCATCACAACCTTGGAATTATAAAGCAAACATTATGAAAAAAACCCCAAGGAAACAGTAGAAAACTTTACCTTCTTTTTATTTGGAGCAGACACATTTGATTTAATTTGAGTCAGAGTCTTCAGCAGAAATTTTGTGTCATCTGGGGACTGTGTTATCTTCTCTGGCTTGTTTATCCCAAAATGGTGCTTTTTACAAAGCTAAATAATGACATTGAATTAAAGCCAAGAATTAGATACTCTTTAAAAAGTCCAAAAAGAAATTTAATTAAAGCCCACAAAAATCAAGACTTGGATGCTCACAAACCTAAGGGAGACACTCTGAAATACAGGAGGAACAGGCAGGTTTCCATCTAGAGCCTCATTCTTACTGTGTTTTTTATAAAAGGCACTTTCTCCTGTGCTTGGGAGGATGTCTGCCTCAGTTTGACATGACTTGAGCATCCAGACCCACCTCAGCTTCCCACCCAAGTTACACTGTAAATTGGTGTCACTCACTTGGTTATTCTATAATAACTTGGTTATTCTATAACCAAGTTCTAGAATTAAGATTCCAAAATCAGATGAGAGCAAGAGCATCTATTAAAAAAAAAAAATACTTTCTCCTAGTTCAGTGTTGTATTCTCAATAAGCTTTATGAAATCTAGGGACAATTTTATTGTAACTTCCCTCAGTAGCAGAACTTGTGATTTCTGTTTTAAAAAATACTTTTAATCGAAAAATGTTATTTAAAAAACCACAACCAGGAAAAAAAAATAACTTTCATTTCACGTTCAAATTTCACTGAAGCAGAAGGAGGAAGGTCAGAATTCCTTGAGCACTGTCATACCTCCAACTCCAGGTCCTGAGGTTCTGTTTCAGAGAGAGGAATCACAGCTATCTTTGTTATTTTGCAAACCTCGTGATCTCCAGGGAGTTTGCCAATCAAAGCTTTCTGACGAATTAAAAGCAGCCACCATGGTAAATCTGGAAAAAAAAAGAGAGATTAGTAGATGCTTTTATTTGTCTTGTCAGGCATTTACTTTGATAAGTTTGCCAGAAGCTTCTCCCCAGTGTAAAACCCCTGCCAGGAACCATTTGACCAGAAGACTCCAGTGAGTGATGATTCACTATTGCTGTGATTTGTCATTATGCATTGCAATAAAAAAAACAAACTCTAAAAAATACTTATTCAGCCTGTAATACAATAAGATTAACTATTTCATAGACTTATTAGAGGTAAAGCTACCCCTGCTTCATCTCCAGCCACCAGCAATCTCTGGGATGAAGCACAACCCCACCAAAGTCACCACTGGCAGTAAAATTTGAGAACAGCTGGAGCTCAGAGAGAAATAAAAGATTTGCCCTTTACAACCTCTGTTGTGCATCAAGCAGCAAACAAGACAGACACAGGTAACAGCTGATCACAAGGCTCCTGAGTTCAGAAATCTGGTGGGCAAACATGGGCTGCAGCATGAAGCAGTTTATATATGTTAAAAGCCTCATGAATCATTCCTGAAGTAATATGCATGAAGTGGCAGAGGAATTAATGGGATAAAAATTAATGAAGATATTGGTGCATGTCAAACACACATTTAATTTACAACACTTGCAGTTACAGCATCAACACTTCAGTGAGACAGGGAAACAGAGCAACAAACATTCCCACTGACTGCTGAATAGGGCCTGGACATTCCTGGATTTTAATCCCTTGGTTACAGCAGCAGCATGTCAGTTGTATGTTGGTCTTTTAGGAATCAAAAGTTCTGTTAAGAAAGATGGAAAAGCCACAGAAAGTCTTCACAAAAACATACACACTTAGCATTTCTCCCAGTTGAGAAGAAACCAATGGAGTTGAACTGAAAAGTTCATGTATAAAAAGCCTGCTATGGCAGACTTGAATATGCTTCCACACTTGTGATGGCAGATTGTGTCATGTATTGTGCCTTTGAATACAATACACAGCCTTTGAAAAGTCTATTTAGCAGCTTTATAGCAAATACAAAGCCTGTTCTCCTTGCTCAGTAAATTCTAAACAGCATTTTATCCTCTGTGTGTTTAAGAGAAACACAGAAAAACCCAGCAGTGCCTTTTATCTGAAGAAAAGGAATAGTCATTGCAAACAGACAACTGTGTGCTGTGACACTCCACTCCTTACTTTGATTCTACATCACTATCTTTAGAAAAAAAAGACTTGCTTACATTGGGCATTAAGAAGCCTTTAAAAATTTCAGGTCCTCATGGTCACAAATGTGCTGTGAGAACCAGAGGGTGCCTCCCAAAAAGGGAGGAGGGGAAGGGGAATGAAATGCACTGTTCCTGAACACAGCAGTGGAATCCTAATCCCTGCAGGATCAGGCACAAGTCAGGCCAGAAGGGATCCCAGGATGTCACCCTGCTCAAGCTCTGAGGTTGCACCAGGTTACTCCAAAGCTGTCACATAGGCACAGTCTCCTAAAAACTGGTCACAGGATGACAAATAAGGACAAGAGAGTGACAGCAAATGCCACCAAGACAGTCATCCTCACTGACAAGCAGGTGCTGGAACAGCTTTTCTGTACAGGTACAGAGAACATGACTTGGGGAACACCTGCCTTTGCCTCCAGCAACCACAGGGGTAAGATGGAAACAAGAAAAAGGAAGCTGAGGAAAACAGGACAGGTTCTGTGCAAGTGAACAGACCAATGAATAAGAAAATGCTTTTACAAAGGAGAAACTGAAATGCTGCCAAAAACACCAGCAACAGATGAAGATGCCCATCACTTCACCTAAAAAGAAGGCCTGCCCTTTCCTATATTGCTTTTTAGTAGGCAAAAACAACAGTCTCTGGAAGCCCAGGGCAATCCAAGCTTAACAGAAGGGTAATACAATAGGGCATCCAGACAGATATTCCTGTGGGGAGTCCTATAATCTCATCTATTCCCACCTATGGAAGGTTGGCCACACAGCTTTCTCCTGTGAGATCACCAGTGTATGTCAGACAAAACAGGTACTCTTTTAAGCAAGGAGACCATCTAGAGCTCTAGTGAATTAATCAGGAGAGCTCTACTGGAAATAAGGATAAGGTAAAGGTATTTCTGAGCAGATATGCCATAGTAAAAAAAATGGAAAAGAAAAATCTCTGCCTACTCTTCACTTGACCTTATATTGACAAACCCTGGCAACAGCAAACAAGAACTTAAGAGCTTAATAAACCAAGCAGTTCTGTATCCCTTTGTCATTTTTTAAAATGCACTCAAATGTCATCCTGGTGTGCATTTCAAAACTCTTTGTATTGTAGCCAGAGCCACAGAACATTCAAAGAAAACAAGAATTCCCCAGCAGATCAAAAGCAAACAGTCAGGAAGTAATTATGCAGATAAAGTATGCCCTGAAGTAAAAGCTTCAACAATAGCCATAAAAGCAGCACATTATAATCACCAGCAATATCTAAATAACTGAATCCCAGCACAGAATATGTGCTTCTGCAGCACAATAAAAAAAAAAGGCAGTTCCACAGAACTCAATTGCCTACTCAGTGTGTGAGGTATGGGGTGTAGAGAACACCCCAACTGTGTGCCAGTCCAGAGGAGAGCATGTTTGAAATCATCTCTCAGAATCAGATGTTCATTTGTAGTGTTTCATGGACTGTGGCAGAGCAGATGGCAAAAACTACCTTAAAATACTGTATCTAAAGGAAGCTATTACCTCCCATTCTGCACTGAAATGGAAATTTAGTTCCTCTGTTGCTTCAACACTGTCAGCACAGCACTGCTGTTCTTCTCTAACACTTCCCAAACAATCCAGCATTTACTTTCCCCCAAATGCCTTTGCAGCAACTTTTTTTAAACTGTACAGGAGTTTACTAAAAATGCTGCTTTTTACAAGTATTTTGATTTTAGCCAAGAAATTCTGTGCTACCACTTTCATCCTTTCTGTTACTTGAACAACTTAAAAATTGGCTGCATGCAGAAAGAATGCTTTAAGCTGCTGGAAGTTCAGTTCCATATCACTGGAGAGATTTCAGATGCTGAACAGTTGTTTCTATCAAGATTCAGAGGCATGCTGACAAAAAAAGCTTTCCTTTCCTGGGGATAGGGAAGGAAGAACTCCACTTCCCTCCTGTTTACAGAGTCTAGGGAACCTTGGTAACAGAATTTAACCTGGGTCTTAATTAACCAGCACTGGAAAAACTCACAGAATGGATACAAGCAGAGAGATTAAACTGCACAGGAGTGTCCTTTGACCAAGAAACAGGAAAATGGGGCAGCAGTGAAGGAGTTAAGTGGAAGTTGCTGGAACTGGCCAAGGAATCCAACTTTGGTTATAGTTGGATATACAACTGAGCATATTCTTGCACTACAACGTTTGATCAACTTGCTGAGAAGTCTCTGATCACCAGTGATTCCATTTCAGGCTACCATTACCATTTTAGTGGATCTACTTTTTATCCTAAGAACAAGTAACACAACCTTCTTTCATCAAAATCCCAAAATAGAATTAGGAAGGAATTGAGTAGCTTCAATTATGTTGGGTATGCATGTGCACTGCCTGGGCCACAAAACAAAATTAATATTCTGTAAAGGAGACACTTTATGCAAGAGATGTGCTGGCCTCTATCTGGGAAGATCATGCAAAGATAGAATTAACTGTGCACCTTTACCAAGAAAATGTGCAGTGATCTGCTTCAGTAACAGCTCCACAGTACATCCTAAAATCCTTTTCCTGCTATTCCCATTGTTACTCTGCGTTTTCTTACAAGTTATCTTAGGAAAGGCCGGAAAATGGTAAGCAATCACATCCCTATATTCCAATATTCAATCAAGGGTTTATTGTTTGGGTTGGAATTCCCCCCTCCCCCAAAAAAACCCCAAAAAACCTGCATGTTTAAGGAAATTCAGTTTGGGGAAGAACCAAATGGTACTTTCACTAGACTTTCCAGTGTGAGTGTACAGTTATTTTCAGTTATACAACTGACTCATGTCAAAAATTCTTTAAAGAATTAAAAAAATAAGCCATGTAATATTGGTTTGCTGGTTCCTATGAGACTGCTTCCCTGGCAGAAGCTGCCCTACAGATTCTTTTGTACAAGTCAAGCAATAAGACCTGTAAGATTAAGAGTAAATTAAATCCCATCCCTAGTTACAGCATATTGGCAAGGGTGTTTCAATGCTAAATTACAGACAGCCCAAGATTGGCTACAGGGACATTTCAAGGTTGTGTTAGACCACTCCAGCATTTCTGCCATGAGCAAATCTTTCAAGAACTTATAAGGATCTATGCCCAAGATATTAAAGTGCATATAGGGTTAGTGACAGCTTTACTGGTAGCAATTTCAACACCTAAAAAGGCATTTAAAGTTTCCAGCATTAGTCAGGATGTGCTAAGCATTTTTAAAACACACCAATATTCCTTTCCAATAATAGCTAATAACAGAATTCTGAGCAGGACAAGCCCACACAGGACTCCTGTTCACCAAAAGAATTTCAAATTAAGTGTTCTGATGTTAATAACCTGAGGGCAGGGGAGAAGAAATCAGAGCAGCAAGTCCTCCTGTTGCAGGTCAGGTCTGTGAAAAAAACATTTCACCCAGCCCCTGCAGCACAGAGCTCCAAGTCTGGAGATAATGGTCCAGCAATGTTAAATATTTATACAACTCCTGCTGATAAAGTTTCCAGGTGACAAAGATTGATACCAGAATAAGTAATGAAGACAGGTTACTGTTACAGACTGCTGGAGGATTGGTCAGAGGGAAACATCCAACTACACTTGAACATGATCAAGTGGGAGTTCATTGACAATAACAGGCTTCAAGAGATCTCTGTGAGATGTCTCAGCCAGCCCCTTGTTGTGACTTCACCTAAGGGAGAACACTTATCAGCAAATGTCAGCCAGGTCAAGGCAGCAGGAGAGAAGGACAAATAGCTGGAGGCTCTCTTTCTTCAGACGTTTAATGGTAGAAAAAAAACATGGTTTGCAGGGCAGTGGCATCACTAAATACCAGAATATCTACAACAAGAACAGTTTGTGGTGGTGTCACCTGCACAAGGCAGAGACCAAACAAAACATTCCCACTGCCCTCAGGAGCAGCTGAGGGGAATGCCTGGATGAGCACTATTGATGCAACAGCTCCATAGGACACATGGAAAGAAGAGCAGATATCAGGCTTATTACCTGATAATCTTAATTTGCATGACAACAGCAAGCTGACACCTGTTAAGGTGTCACAGCTGGGGAAAGTTTCAACTCAGATTTCATAAGCAGAGGAAGCACCTCACAATAAGCACACATGCAAGGGCATTCAGTTGTCATAATATACTAAAACCTTCCAAAAAGTACTTGAGATCTCCCCCCTCAAAAGGCTTTTATACCAGACTCCCTAGAGAGAAGGGGGGGCAAGGCTTTTGTGCACCCAAGTGCTTGGTTTAAAAAACAGAAACACCACACCCCACACAAACAAAAAACAAAACCAGTCACTGAGCATTTTCCCAGAGCAGTGAGAGGTCATTACTGGAGCTCAGCCATCATTCATCATGACCAGCACATGCTGAACAGCACAGAGAACCTGGGTGAGGAGCAGAGAAAGGGAGATGGCAGAGACTGAACTGCTTCACATCATCAGATCTGAAAAGGGGTGTAGTGCTTTGGGTTTTAGGCCTTCCTGGTGACCAGGTCAAAACTAGGGAAGTGCTCATGTCCCAGTATTCCATCCTATTTTGTACGTAAGCAAGAGCATAAACAAGAAGGAGAGAGGAGGGTCTGCCCCCTTCTCTTCCCCTGGACTTGCAGGCAGCAGGTCCCTTATCCAGGAGTGAGCCCTGCTGGGGCCTGTTGTTTTCCTGATCCGACTGGAGAGATCTGGTACAGTGGCTTTTGTCTTCTTGAAGAAAGAATTAAAATTTTGGTTTGTTAGTTCTTTATTAGCTGTGTATATCTGCGTATATGGGGTTTTCTGTTTTGGCTGTGGGGTGTTGGGGTTTTCTCTTTCTTATATGTAAATAGTTTTGTTTTGTTTTGGGTTTTTTTTGCAATTGTATATAAGTTTAAATATATATATATATATACACACTGCTTTAGTTCAGTTTATTTTGGGTCTTTTGGTTCCTTTTCCCCTCTTCTTGTGGCGGGATTTGGGGACTTGGTGGGGAGCCAAATCTAAATGGCTACAAGGGGTGGGTGAACAGCTCTGTGGGACGAGCACAGACCAAAATATCAGGTGAGATTCAAAGAAGATGGAGAGATGCAGCTGGAAAGAGGATGTGATCATGAACTCCATGGAGAGATGGGCTCTGAACCATGACTCCCATGTGACCCTGGGGTCACAGTAACTCCAGAGCTGTGTGATTCCCAGAACTGGGCTGACCAACAACACTGCTCGTGTGTTCCAGTCCCCGTTTTCCATTTGTGACACTGCCCCCCTGACTCAGCTGTCTCTATTCAACAGAACACAAACATCTATCTGATCCATTCCAGCACATCCTGCTCTCCTGGAACACACTTGAAACTTTACCTGTATTGATCATATTGCCAGGCACTACTTGAAATGCACTCACCAAAAGAATGGCACACAGCAAGTGTTTATGGCTGCCTTTCCTACCTGCCAGTAAATAGATATCCAGAGCTCCACTGGCAGAAGTATCAGCTGGTTTATATCAAAATAAATATTTATTACAGCTTCAGGGATTTGCAGCTGATAAAGCTAAAGGAGCACTGACCTTATTTTAAAGGAAAACACTACTACTATCAGTTAGAAACAGGCTTATCATTAAAATAGCAATGAATTCTACACCTGCTTTAATTTTATAGCTCTGTCATTTACCTACAAACAAGTTTAAAGTGTTCCTTTTGCTTTCCAAAATTCATCTACCAACGTAGCAATTATACTTCAGGTTTTTATACAGCACTGAGAATTCAAGCCTTATCCTTTTGTTAAAACTTCCATCATTAGTTCTTGTACCACAGTAGAACAATGAGAATCTCCTCGAAAGGATTATTCAAAAGGGGCTTAAGAATTTTATAAATCTCACACAGAGCCTCAGATAGGCCTTCAAATACAAGTTTCTACTATTTGCAAATGCAGTTCTCTATTTTTACATGAGTGTCAAACCAAAACACACACACTGGAGAACAGGGGGAATTTGCATTATAATATAATCAACTGTAATATAATCACTCTGACAAGTTCATATATTTGGGGAGTATTCCTCCAGTGTATAGAATACTGCATCATTCCATTTCAGCTATGCAGTATTATTTGTAATACCACAGACTTTAAAACAAATTCAGTGGTAAATAAAATAAATATTAAAAAAACCATAACAGAAATAAAAAAAAACCATCAAAACAGAACTAACCACATACCTGTATGAAGCTGAACTTTACCAATGACTCCCTCTACAAGGCCCAGGCAAATGGGATTCCAAGCCAACAGAAGATCAGTGGCTGCAAAAAAGAACAAAGCTCCTGTTTTTGAAAAGCAAACTCAACAGGACAGTTAACCCAGTGATGGTCATTCTCTCCACTTTGCCCACCTCAGAGGGTAGAAAACCCATCATAATTCCCACAATAAGATGATGCACAGGCTCTTCCATTTCTGCTTAGCTATGACCAAATTACTAAGTTTCCAACTTAAAGCCCTACCCCAGATATTTCCCAGATGTTTGAGGGGGGAAAAGAAGTAGCTTAGGGCTACAGTAATGTGTTTAATGGAGATTTAATTCTTTTAATATCCAGTTGAATTTGTAATGTAACCAAAACTTTACATGGCTATAGTGAAATGGAATACAGGTCACCAAGTTAACTACAGAGCCTCAAAAAGGCAGCAGATGGCAACTCTCAACCCCAGCTCCCTCCCAGAGTATCCCATCACTATTACTTTCACATCCTCTTTCTATAAACATGCACACACACACACTTCCTCTTCTGTTAAACTCTCCACAGTTACATGGAATATCAAAGCACAAAAAGTTAAGGTTTAGGTTTCTGGTTCTCCTGCTGTTAAATTCCAGTGAAACACGTAGGAAGCAGAAGAGAAAGCAGAAGGCAATGAGAGTTTCTAATAGTGTAGTACCTGTTCAAGGATTCAAGAGTGGGGGAAAGAATAAAATTCCTAACTCAAATCTTTAAAGTGAAAGCAAATCCTTAAAAGCAAGTAATATCTCTGTAGTACAGAAAAAGCCCAAAGGAGAAGAGGTTTTTCTGTACCACAAAGGACAAGTTTGTTCTTATCTACCAAAATGCCCTTGTTCCAAGGTAAAAAGAGTTTCTCCAGTTTTAACACCCAGATAAATTAAGTGTCTTAGCTATTGGTGTATGTAGATGAATATTTGAAAGGAAAAAGTCATACAGTGTAAGAGTACAAATCACCTACCTACATATACTTTATTTATGAGACCTTGGTTTCTTCTTGAAAGTCTGAGATCTGCAGGTGACAACTGATAGTGTGATTATTTTTACACACTTATTTTAAAGCATTGTACCCTCCTTGAAACTTTGTAATTGAGAATTTGATATTCCAAGAGCACGTCTTTTTTTTTTTTCTAACTTTCAGCATAACCTTTAATAATACACCAGACCCATTAAAGATGAGCATTTCCATGAGATCAACAGAAACCACTGAAGTCAGGGTAGATCTGGAATGAACTGATTAAATGGGACAGATCACATGTGCCTGTGCACAGGCAAGAGCTAAAAGCCCCCAGTGGCAGAATTTAAAGCAATGTTTGCAGGAGCAGGGCAGAGCTGCAGGGAACGTGTGGGACCAGCCTGAACCAAACTCCTGTTCTTCCCGTTCCACTGGAGCAGGGCTGAGTTACTTGGGATGCACAGAATGCAGGAATCAAATGAACTTCTTTGGGAGACTAATCCAGAGAGTGGAGCACCAGGAAATCAGTGACAGTGGGCATGACAGTGAACAGTTTGATTTGCCCTCAGGCCTTGCTGAAGGACTAAAACACATCTTGTATCCTCCTGATGGAGACCTGTGCTCATACAGACCAAGTTCTGGAACAGCCTGAGCCCAGTTTCACTCCCAGTGACACACAACAACATCTGTGTGCTGAGAGGGAAATCTTCCCTATGAGATTTACAGCAGAGAGGAACCCAGACAGCTTCCCTCACTCCCAAGCCTTCCACCTTCTTTCCCAGTTCACCCACACAATCCCAGCTGGGTCTTTCGGGCCTCTCCTAGAGCTGCACTGTCTCACACTTCATCTGCTTCTCGCTGCTTTTGCAACTGCCTTTCACATTTGGGCTCCCCTGTGACAGCCAGAAACCAGCCAGAGACACCAGGCAGCCAAAAAAAAGCCAGGCACAGGAGGAATTTAAAGAACCAAACCAGGGAAGGTCTACCATGGCAGTCACAAAGCCAGGAACCCAGACCACCACCTGAGGCTGTTTAAAACACTCCTGCCATGGTAAGAGATATTGGTGGGAAAGCTCTGAAGTGATGTTTTCTTCTAGTAGCTTACAAGCAATTAAAACAATGAGAAAATATTTTGGTCTAATTACAGGTATAAGGAAACAAGAGTGACTTGTCTGAGAAAAGGACATAAGAAAACTGGTATCAGGGACTGCACAGACAGCAGAGGTAGCCCTGGATATAACACACCATATCCAAGACTTCCACAGGAATACAACCACCCCAGGAGTAGAGGCACAGTGAGAAATGGCTCTAAACTTTGACTGAAAGCACAGACAAGCTTTGGAAAAGAGGAGCATGTATTTGGAGTTAAATGCACATTCCACTTTAAGAGTTTAAAGACAGCAAATATGGATCCACCAGCTGGGCAGCACCAGCTCTTGAGACAAGTGTGATTCTCAAACTACTACTGCTGAAGGCTGACTGTTTTAAGAAAGTTTTCTATGGGGGAGGCAGGACATATGGAAAAAAAACCCACACATATTTAGCAACATTTGAGGAGATTAACATTTTTTTTTCAGTGTCCAAGAAAACTTAGATGCAAAGAGAAATGCCTGTTGGCTGTGGAAAAAATACCAATTGTGGAATCACACTGACTTCCTTTGGTGAAAGTGTCACAAGATTTATTTTTTTTCTTACACTATTTCCAGAGAACTTTCTATAGGAAAGTATGTGTGACAGCATCAAAGCAAGCAAGCTGTCTTAACAAAATAAAAACATATCTGGTTCCAACCTTCTGATTAGAGCTTTGTTACTGGTTATAGTTCAGCTTCCTGTGTGACAGCCATATCTCAGCTCAGAGCCAACACCCACTCATGCTGAATAAATACCACAACAGTAAATACCCACATGAACCTCTTGCTCTTGAAGAGTGAACTCTGGAAATGTGGGATGGATGAACCAAACAAACTGAAAGGTTTAAATATCATTCCCACACACACCCCCAAAGAAAATGGGGTTTCATGTTGAGTGCAGTCCTATTTTTTCCAGATAGGAAGAAGCTGTCTCTAACTTCTAACACCTTAAATTCTTCAAGATTGTTCTCTTGCAGCCATTGAGTCTGTCTGGTAATTCTGGCAGCAGCAACCTCCAGCCACTATCTTGCATCTTTGAAAATTATAACCATTAATCTTTGCTTGTGTAAATTATTTTAAATACATCTCCTGTAGGAGATTAGTCTTTGACTGTAAAATACAGCAGAATTTAAGAGGTAGTATAAGTTAGTAGACAGTGATATGTGTTACAAAAGGTATCCACATTCTTTTAAAGCCAAGGGGGAAAGTAATCATACAAAACAAAAATGAAAATCCTCAGTTGAAAGTTTTAGGGTAGCATACATTTCTGACTGCTGAATGCTAAAAAACAAAAACACATTCTGAGTTTGATTTTTATTTCTTTTTAACAGAAATGCCTATCAATAAGAATTAACTACCCAAGGCCCTATCAAAGGAAACACCAGACTTTCCTCTACACCCAAAACAGACTGAATGTTTTGAGATATAGTGTGAAATACAATTTTTATCAACACAGTTACTCTTGTTTCCCCACACAAACTTATCTTCCTAGAGATGTCGTACCAGTGGTCTCTGGAACCTCAAATAGCCAGGAACAAAGACTTATCAACCTTAAACTGCAACACAATGTTGTTGAAACAGACTTTTTACAGTATTATGCTGGTGATAAGGAGCAGTCTCAAAATTGTCATTGTCCTTCAGAGCATCTATGTCCAGAAAGAGTCACTATGAGCAGTGAGCCGAGCTCCTTGGAAGATTTTCCCTGACTGGAGGAGTTCTCTGCTGTCCTCAGTAGATTTTAATTTGAGAGAACTGCCAGTTTGACAGGCCTGAACACATGCCCACAACACTCTGAGTTATGTCCTTGCTTACCAAGTCTCCATCCTGAAGCACAAAATTGCTCATTCCTTCCCTTATCCCACTAACTAAATTCACGCTATTGAAATAAATGTTGCCTCTTTTTGCCGATTCCCGTCAGAGATTAAGGATCCCTGACAACACATTTACCACTCACAGTGATTGTATCAGCATTGTAGCTGCAGCACAATGGAGCTTCCGTCACAAATTCTGAACAAAAGCAGCTTTGATGTGATTCCTTCCCCACCCCCCCTCAGAGCTCACCAGCAGACATGCAGGGCCACCAAACACCAGATAAAGTTTCTTTAATGCTTTGTGGTTACACAAACATAACCCTGATAAAGGTGATACAAAAGCAACTTGGAAGTGCATCAAAAGCCAAAACTGCTTTCTGGCTCCTTCTCCGATCCACCACCACCAGCTGAGCTGATCCAAGGTCAGGCACAAATTCTGACAAGAAAACAAACAAACTGCTGCTTTGGGATAAACACAGAAGGATTGTGTCTGGAGAAGAGCTGTCAGCTTCCTTTGGGGAGAAAGCAGGAGGAAAAACCATTTCACTTGTACCCACTTGAACCCAGCCCATACTCCTGAGCTGGTGTTTGCCCCAGTCCATCACGGAGCTGCAGTTATGGACAGGGAGCTGAACAGGAGCCAGAGTGTGCCCAGGGGGCCAAGAAGGCCAATGGATCCTGGCCTGGCTCAGGAACAGGGTGGCCAACAGGGCCAGGGAAGTGATTCTGCCCCTGGACTCAGCACTGGTGAGGCCACCCCTGGAGTGCTGTGTCCAGCTCTGGGCCCTCAGCTCAGGAAGGACATGGAGGGGTTGGAGCAGGTCCAGAGAAGGGCAACGAGGCTGGGGAAGGGACTGGAGCACAAGTGCTGTGAGGAGAGGCTGAGGGAGCTGGGGGGGCTCAGCCTGGAGAAGAGGAGGCTCAGGGGAGACCTCCTCACTCTCTGCAACTCCCTGACAGGAGGGGGGAGCCGGGGGGGGTTGGTCTCTTTTCCCAGGCAACCATCAGCAAGACAAGAGGGCTGGGTCTGCAGCTGTGCCAGGGGAGGGTTAGGTTGGATATCAGGAAGAATTTCTTTGCAGAGAGGGTGCTCAGCCATTGGAATGGGCTGCCCAGGGAAGTGGGGGATTCTCCATC